CAAGACTCTGCCAAAACAAACAAAAAACCAAAAAATCCCACAGGACTATACAACACGAAGAGTGAACCCTAATATAAACGTGGACTTTAGTTAGTAATAATGTGTCGATATTGGTTCATGAGTTGTAGCAAGTATACTACATTGTGCAAAGTGTTAGTAATTGGGGAAAACCATGTTTTATAGAGAGGGGACAAGAGGCTGGGTAAGGACCGTTATGAGAGCTCTGTACTTTCTGCTCAATTTTTATGTAAACCTAAAACTTCTCTAACAAAAAAAAAGGCTACTGTGAAAAACAAAACAAAAAACAGCATCCTTTTAGCCAGTAAGATGTACTACAAATACAAAGTTTTCTAGGAATTTCGTATATCTTTAAAAATTACATGAACTTTTCATTCTATTCCTTAACACACAGGTGGCTATTTTGACATTAAAAATGTTCCCCCAAGTTTCCACAATATAATACATAACCCCTAGATATATGATTCTTGTATTAAGTAGCATGGCTTTGGCTGGGCACAGTGTCTCACACCTATATTCCCAGCAGTTTGGGAGGCGGAGCCAGGAGGATCACTTGAGCCCAGGAGTTTGAGACCAGCCTGGGCAACTTAGTGAGATGCTGTTTAAAAGAGAGAGAGAGAGCTGGAAAGAAAAGAAAGAAAGAAGCATGGCTTTGATTGATAGGAAGTCATTGAAGTTGTATGTTAAAAATGAAACAAACAAAAAATTAAACCAATAAAATCATGAGGCCGGGCGCAGTGGCTCAAGCCTGTAATCCCAGCACTTTGGAAGGCCGAGGCGGGTGGATCACGAGGTCAAGAGATCGAGACCATCCTGGTCAACATGGTGAAACCCCGTCTCTACTAAAAATACAAAAAATTAGCTGGGCATGTTGGCGCGTGCCTGTAATCCCAGCTACTCAGGAGGCTGAGGCAGGAAAATTGCTTGAACCCAGGAGGCGGAGGTTGCGGTGAACCGAGATCGTGCCATTGCACTCCAGCCTGGGTAACAAGAGTAAAACTCTGTCTAAAAAAAAAAAAAAAAAAATCATGAGCAACAAATTTCTCTCACACTCCAGATATTTTTGCATCCTTATTTTCATTTCCCAGTATTTATACAGAACATATCCACTATCTCTAACTCACTCTATCAGCCTTATTCTGTATGCAGAAAACTTTGCAATAGCATGGTGAGAAATAGTTAATAAACCCACCTTTGTGGATATTAACAATGTAGGCAAGGGAAATGTAGTTTAATATGAAAATAAGTTATACTAAGAAAAGTAGATACAGAAATGAAAATTAAGCCAACCAATGAGATGGACAAAGAAAATGGAATGACATGGGTTAGACAGGTTTGGATGAATTTTGAAACAGAAGACACAGTTGGATGGGTGCCCTGTCTTTAGGAGCAGACTTTTTTCTCCATGTCATTGAGACCTAGAATGACCTTTAACTATCACCAGTACACATTGCCCTTTTTGGTGTGCAGTGTTGACACTGAAACACAGATAACTTAAGGTTGTTTGGATACTTATTCATGTAGATAGACACGTGAACCCATACTGTGCCTAACTAGGCCTCTTGAAACCACAGACGCACATTCACAGGACTACGCTCGTTTATATTTTCAAGGCATTTTGTCTTGTGAAGATCACAGCTGATATCTTCAATCTCATATAAAAGTTTGCTTAGGAGTGAATTTCTTAGCAATCCGCTTGCTAAGAAAAAGCAAGTGGTGTTAAAGTGAGGGCATTAAAATAGCTCCAAAAAATGATAAATAAATAAAAGGAAAGAAAAAGGAAAAACAAGAGGCCCATTCACAGATACACAGAGGAGAGTGGCCCCTCCTCCATAAGCCTTTTTCATCAGTGAGAGAATCAAGAGAATTCTGTATATACAGAAGAGGGTTTCAGGGTCAGTCTTGAGTTTGAATTTTCTACTTCTTAGCTAGAGAACCTTGGGCAAGTCACTTTACTTCTTTGGCCCTAGCTTGCTTATCTTTGAAGTGGGAATAATATTTCAGATTATGCAGAAGAAAAGGTAGGCAGTACCAGGCATATGGTAAGTGCTTGATCAATACCAGTTTGCTTCCCTCCTTCCCTGCTCCTTCTGCTAAAACTTTACAGCCATCTCATTAAGTCATCAATGTATTTAGTAGTTAATAATTATTTAATGAGCACCTACTATGAGTCAAGTCCTTTGTTAGCCAGTGGGGATATGACTGCAAACAAGAAAGATACCCCTGTGATTTGAGGAGCCCTCGAATTGATGAACAGCTCATCTCTGTCTCCAGTGTGATCAGTCCTGAATTCACACAGCTCTCCACTGGTGTTTTTGACCACAGAGTTAACATTTAAAATATTTATGACTGCTTTTTTGGCACCACTTTGAATAACGAACTGGTTTCAGGTAAACAGAGTCCAGTTACCTACTGCAGAAAGATTTCCAGTCTACACCCTCTATGGCTCACAAGTTCACATGAAGTACTTAGCAGCAAAAGAGTTTTGTTGCACTTACTATGACAATAAATCATGTTTAGAAGAAAATGCATGTGGTATACATGATCTTGGGCAGATGATTCATGAAACTGACTATTCTGTGGCTTTAGAATCCATTTAAGTATTTTTCTTTTGTCTTTTATGTGTTTTCTTGTTTCTCTGTTTTATTTGTTTTTGTTTGGGGATGTTTTAAAATTAATGCTGGGCTAGAGTCTGATTTTGTTACTCTCAGGTATGACCAAATGTTTCTGCATCTCTCTCTAACCTTTCTATTTTCAATGTGGGGCAAACTTTCTCCTCTTTAAGAAAAGGTGCATCCACAGAAAAGATAATTATTTAAGCAATTTTTCATAGTACAGAAGTCATAATTGAGTTATTTTTCCCTTTAAAATTTTATTTTTGTTTTACTTTAAGAACAAAATTATTTTAGGATTTAAAGAATTAAAAGAAATTGATTTACCTAAATTTAACTTGCCAACTTTTCTGTTACACAAAAGCATTATAAATACAAATAGGATAGCAAAAATTTCATCCTAAAGAGAAAACTATTTTGGGCTTCTACTTTCAAGAGAGCAAAATTGTGCTGGACCCCTGTGCACACTTTAAAAACAATCATTAACAGATTGCATCAAACTAGAAACTTCTTCACAGCAAAGGAAATAATTAACAAAGTGAAGAAGACAGCCTACAGCATAGGGAAAATATTTGCAAATCATACATCTGATATGGCGTTAATATTCTTAAATATATAAGAAACTCAATGAACTTGATTGCAAGAAAACATAACCCAGTTAAAAAATAATAAAGGACCTGAATATCATTTCTAGAAAGAAGGCATACAAGTGGCTAACAGGTATATGAAAAGGTACCCACCATCACTAATGATCAGGGAAATGCAAATCAAAACCACAGTGAGATATCATCTCACACCCGTTAGAATGGCTGTTATCAAACACACAAAAGATAAGAAGTGTTGGCAAGGATGTGAATAAGAGGGAACCTTTGTATACTGTTGGCGGGAATGTAAATTGATAGAGTCATTATGGAAAACAGAATGGACTGCCTCAAAACATTAAAAATAGAACTACCATATGATGCAGCAATCCTACACTTTTGGGTATATATCCAAGTGAAATGGAATCAGTATGTTGAAGAGCTATCTGCTCTTACATGTTTACTGCAGCATTATTCTCAATAGCCAAGATGTGAAATCAACCTAAGTGTCATGGATGAATGGATTTTTGAAAACACAGAATATATACGTGTGTATATAGTATATGTACACACATACACATATACACATACAGATACATATGTGTACACACACACAATAGAATATTATTCAACCTTAATAAAAGAAGGAAATCCTGTCATTTGTGACAACAGAGATGAACCTAGAGGACATTGTGCTAAGAGAAGTAAACTGGGTGGTATTTGACACAGAAAGACAAATACTACGTGATCTCACTTAGGCATGGAATCTAAAAAAGTCAAACTCATGAAAGCAGAGAGTAAAATGGTGGTTGCCAGGGGCTTGAGAGTGATTGCATGGGGAGATGTCAGCCAGAGTTTCAGTTATGCAGGATGAGTTCTGGAGACCTAAGGGTAGGTCACCTTCAGCGTGGTGACTATAGTTAGTGATGCTGTATGGTATATTTGAAATTTGCTAAGACAGTAGATCTTAAGTGTTCTCACTACACACATTCATACTTAAAAAGGTAACTGTGAAGTGATGAGTATGTTCATTAGCTTGATGATGGTAATCATTTCACAGTAAATACATATATTAAAACATTGTATACCTTGTTTTTTGGTTTCGTTTTGTTTTTGAGATCGAGTCTTGCTCTCTTGCCTGGGCTGGAGTGCAGTGGTGTGATCTTGGCTCACTGCAACCTCCACCTCCTGAATTCAAGCCATTCTCCTGCTTCAGCCTCCCAAGTGGCTGAGATTATAGGCACGTGCCACCACACCCAGCCAATTTTTCTATTTTTAGTAAAGACAAGGTTTTGCCATGTTGGCCAGCCTGGTCCCAAACTCCTGACCTCAGGTGATACTCCTTCTTTGGCCTCCTAAAGTGCTGGGATTACAAGTGGGCCACCGTGCCTGGCCTGTGTGCCTTAAGTTTAAAAATTTGTGTCTATTATACTTCAATAAAGCTGGAAAAAATTTTAAATAAATAACAGCAGTCATTAACAGACTAAATTGATGACCTTCTGTAGAAGATAATGAGAGCAGAACTGGTAGCAAGACATTTATATGGATATACTATATGTGTCTGCACTGCTTCAGGATTCTATACTATGATACCTGGGTAAAGGATGACTTCCTTCCTATCATAAAACAGCCTGGACAGCACTGAGAAGATGGTTATGTTCTTTTCTCTTGTTTTAAGAGCCTAGAAGAGATTACTTCACCAAAGACTCTTTCATTTCCCTTTCTGACACTGTGAGATTGCTCTGTTCTCCAGGACTTAACTTCACAGCTAGTCTATTTTTCCTTTCAGAAATTACCATGGTTGACACAGAGATGCCATTCTGGCCCACCAACTTTGGGATCAGCTCCGTGGATCTCTCCGTAATGGACGACCACTCTCACTCCTTTGACATCAAGCCCTTCACTACTGTTGACTTCTCCAGCATTTCTACTCCACACTATGAAGACATTCCATTCACAAGAGCAGATCCGATGGTTGCAGATTATAAGTATGACCTGAAACTTCAAGAGTACCAAAGTACGATGTTTATTTTCATTTTTCAGACTCCTAAGACTGGAATTGGACTAATCTCTCAGTAACCCTGTAATACTCCAGAGACTAGAACTCTAATAGAGAAGGCATTCATCATTGATTTATTCACCCATTTATCCATGAAACATTAGGTATCTATGAAATGCCAGAAAGGAAGTTGGCCCCAGGTCAATCTTGCCTTTCCCCCACTCTATCCTTCCTCTCTTCTTTCCTTTCTTGCTTACTTCCTTCTTAGGAACATTTTCTAGCTTGATTACACTGCCATTTGTATCTCTAGCTAGAGTCCATCATCCATACTTTGAATTCTTTGGGCCCTTGTAAGTTAATAAGTAACAGTTCCAAGTCACCTTATATTATATAACTTATCTTCACTAAATTACTGCTACTACAGTACATTTTTTCCTAATCTGTCCTTTCAGAATTTTATACTGAAACCTACTTTTGAGCACAAATTTGTCTTAACATTGTAGTCTATTAGTAAATTTTCATGCCATTAACTAAATCAACATCAAAACATCAGATGCAAGAAAAACAAGAACTGCACTTTTTGAGATAAAATGTATTTCTGTGATGCTGTTTCCTTGATTTTTATCATGTGTGGGCTGACATGCTGGTTTTCCAAAGCCACCACTATGTAACTGGCAACCATTACTTGACAATAAGTAAGAACTTCCTGTATTTCTGGTGGTTTTTAAGATAAATAATATGCTTGGTTATATTTATCTGTGTGGTTTTTAGTTAGAGCCTAATATGGAAATTTAATAGCCATGGGACTAACTAGTAAAAGGTAGGCCTTACTTCCATTAAGTTCCCCCATCCTCTGTCAAAGATCATTTCACAAACCACGTCTTTTGACTGAACACTGATGGTAACCTGGGCTCTTATTTTTCCTGCACCTTGAAGCTAGGCATTCACAGCATTGTTCCTTCTATGGTTCTTTTGCAAGCGTTGTTCCAAAGTACTTCTAAAATGTAATATTTAAATAAAATGTATAATTTAATATTGTGATGAATACCAAAGACAGAACATTTGCTAGGAAAATAAGCTTCCTTGTCTCAAAGCCTCTATGTTGTCTGTTAGAGCTATAGTATTGCAGGGTACTGGGGGTCATAGAACCACAGACTTAATTCCCGTTCCCATTTTATATTTACAGGTGAGGCTTAGAGATGTTGTTACTTGCCTGTGATTACACAGCCTTCTTTTGCTTGCCTTAACTCTAGTGTTTTTTTTCATGTCCCATTATGCTTTTATACTGAAACAATACAAATATGGCAAAGGTGTCGTATGGTGGCTTGCCCTTTTGCCGTTTTAGGACTGTTTTCGTAGGATAATTATCCTCTCACGTTTCCATACATAGGTGCAATCAAAGTGGAGCCTGCATCTCCACCTTATTATTCTGAGAAGACTCAGCTCTACAGTAAGCCTCATGAAGAGGCTTCCAACTCCCTCATGGCAATCGAATGTCGTGTCTGTGGAGATAAAGCTTCTGGGTTCCACTATGGAGTTCATGCTTGTGAAGGATGCAAGGTAATTTTTTTAAAAAAATCTTTCTTCAAAGAAATTGTTGAATTATTTCATTTGAGCAGAACCCTTTCTTTAGGTGATAAAAAAAAATATGAATTTTTTTTCTTCTTAGAAGAGTGTCTTGCTCTGTCACCCAGACTGGAGTACAGTGGTACAATCAGAGCACACTGCAGCGTTGAGCTCTAGGACTAAAGTGGTCCTCCCACCTCAGCCTCCCAAAGGATAATGTAATATTTCAGAGCCTAAGAAAGTGGATAAAAGCAGGGCGGCTTTACCCCACGTTTCTTTCTCCAAATGGATTCCTTGAGACACTGATTTAATTTAACCCCTGCATCTTGCAGATTTTTACAAAAAGGTGACTTCTCCAAGGTGTCATGGCAAGACAGTGATGATCTGGCACCAGGATGTAGATTTCCTGCATTCCCTAGTTGTTTATTTATTTATTTTTTGCTGTACCATGTAATATTATATATACACAAGATTTTACAGATTATTTGTATATACATATCTTTGGATCCCTAGAGCAATCCTATAAGATTGGGCTTCTTTATGGCCACATTACAGATGTAGAAATTAGAAGTTTGTAAGACTTGCCAAGGTCATCCCTTAGTAAATGGCAGCCCTCAGTCTAGACTCTGACTCCTTTGGTGGTATTTGGTCTCAAAGCAGTGTCTCATGTTTCCTTATTCCAGCATCAGTGTGAGCCACATACATGGACAGGTAAGGAGATATAACAGTGGGGGAAAGGAGATACTATTTCTCCTCACCTCTTTCCTTTGCGAAAAGGGTATTTTGAAAAATTCAGACATTTAGTAATATATTGCTTAATCATTAAGAAAATATGCGAATCCACATATATTTTGATATGCAGTCTTTTAAGATATTTTTAGTATAGGCAATGAAAAAATAGTACTAATTATATATTCATTGCACATAATAAACTGTTCATAAATATTTACCTTATAAAATAAGCGTGTGCTTAGGCTTTTTATTCAACATAAAGATACAGAACAACAGTTAGGAAAGAGTTAGGACATCTTGGCTCCTTAATGGATGATGGGCTGAAACAGAAAACTGATTTTTATTGAATTCTTACTACATGCCACATACTGTGTGAGGTAACGTTTTCATACATCAGTATTTTACCACATCCTACCCAGGTTTCTCATCTATAAAATGATTGTGGCTGGGTGTGGTGGCTCACACCTATAATCCCAACACTTTGGGAGGCTAAGACAGGAGGATCTCTTGAGCCCAGGGGTTCAAGACCAGTCTGGGCAGCATAGCAAGATACTATCCCTACAAAATTTTTTAAAATTAGCCAGACACGGTGGCATATACCTGTAGTCCCACCTTCTCGGGAGGCTTAGGTAAGAGGATCACTTGATCCCCAAGACTGCAGTGAGCTGTGATTGCACCACTGCACTCCAGCCTGGGTCACAAAAGCAAGACCCTGACTCCAAAAAAAATAAATAAAAATAAAATGATCCAACTGAATTAGATGATCTTAAAGTTCCTTCAGTTCAAACAGGTTTTACTCTAAAGGTAACCTAATATAATGAAAAGGGACAAATCAGAGGTCAGCTTTCCAAAGTCACTAGCCAGTTGCATACACACTGTATCCCTCAGGCCCCCATGTGTAAAACACATTGGTTAGATTGACTACGCAAAGTCTTATTCATCTCTAAGATCTGTAATTTCAAAATGACACTTCGAAATACCCCTGGCAAGAGAGACTTTCATTGAAAACACTAAAACCCATTCATTCTGTAATTTAAACCAAACTAAAATATTTATGACCTTATATGAAATCATTGTATTAAGTCAATTATCTAAGATCTTGATGAGTAGTAAGAACATGTCATTTTATTGAGTTAAATTTTTTTATTGAGTGTTTTTGTAGTTTTATTGAGTTTTATTGTTAGATTTAATGAGTTAGAGTTAATTTTTACTGAGTTAGGTACCATTTTTGAGTGAGTAAATTGTTGCTAAATTCTGAGCCACATTTATGTGAAGAAACCATTCTGTTTGGGTCATGTTGAAAATTTACAACTACAAACAAATAAAAACAGCATGATTGGTTTAAGTTTCCACAATAAGTTATTGTTTTTTATGGGCTAGCAAAGCACTTAGAAAACTAAAACCTTTAAGTAAATAGTTCTGCCATAATCCTATTAGTCACAAATTCGTGGAAAGCTAACATTATTGAGAACAGCTGAAAATGGAAAGACAGGAACATTGTCAGTAGTTGGTTATAGGAATAAATCTAAGTTCTGAGGGCATTAAAACTTAGAAGCAAGCGGGGAAGAAGAGTAGCAAAAAGAGAAACCAGAAGAGGAAATCCAAGTGCCTTCAAGTTAGGATTAGAAAGGGTAGAAGGCAGAGAGGAAGGAAAAAGGCTCTAGCGGAGCCCTTAACCTAACATAGATTAAAAAACAAATGAAGAAAACTAAGAGTATTGTGTACTAACCTGCAGTAATTCACAAACCATCCAAACTGTGGATTCCAGAATTCCTAGACTAAAATGTAAAGAAAGTTTTACTTACTTGGGAAGGGAAAATAGATATCTACACATTTTAAAGGTAAGATTAAGGAAAACAGTATTCTTGGAAAATGTAAACATTTAGTAATATACTACTTAATATTTTAAAAATGTGAATCCACTTACCTTTTCATATGCAGTCTTTTAAAATTAATATGTTCAATGAATAAAAGTGTTTATTATATACTCATTGCACAGAATAAATTGTTCATAAATATTTACATTATAAAATAAACCCTGCCTTGGTTGGGGTTTTTATTCGGTGTAAAGATTAAGAACAGAAGTTAGGAAAGAATTAGAACATCTTGGTTCCTAAATAGATGATGGGTTGAAAAAGGAAACTTTTTTTGAATTCTTATTCTGATTTTTATTGAATTCTCACTATGTACCAGATATTGTATGAGGTACATTTACATACATCATTATTTAACCACTTCCTATTCAGGATTTCTCATGTATAAAATGATTCAGATGATATTGGTAGGATGTGGTTACATAATGAAACAATATCATTTGGCTTCTTCTAGTATACATCAGCAGTTCCCAAAGTGTGGTCTGGGGCTTGGGCCCTTTCAAGGCATCCATGAAGTTGAAACTATATTCATAATAATGATTTTTATTACCTTTTTCACTCTCATTCTGTGTATGTGGAGTGTACTGGAAGCTACATGATGTAGGATGATGATATAACTCTGGTGGCTAATGGAATGTTTGCTTATATGTTCTCGTATATAATAATTTCTCAGTTGTACTTTTTAGTATGATAAATGTCAGTAATGATAGCCCACATAGAGCTCTTTGGGGTCTTCTACAATTTTAAAAAGAGTAAAGGGGTCTTGCAGCCATAAAGCCTTCGGCCTCATTCTGAAGAAATGCAGTTAACTTATTAGTTGCTAGTTAGGAACTAAACAAAATTGCTGCCACATTCTGAATACTGCTGCATTAGACCAGTGGCTGTCAGTAATCAAAACCATCTCCTTAGCTTATCACCAATACACAACAAAAAGCCAGGAAAATGGAATTAGCAAATGTGTTTAACTCATCTGCATGTATTTTCTGAGAGGTTTTTTGGCAGCTTCACATTTGCTGTTGCAGTAGAATGTGGGTTATATTCATAATTAAAATACGGTTGACCACAAAGCTGCAAGCTAATTTATGGACGGAAAAGAATAGTGAAACACAGCATAAAACAACTGTTGGTAGGTCTTAAACAGTTTTACAATGTAAATGGAACAGGTTTATATTAGTGATTCTTGCCAAAATTTGGTCAGACAGATGGGAATGAATAGATTGGGCTTGAATTAAGATGAAATAGTGACAGATTCTTGGGTGTGTTAATATTGCAAACTTATATAAAATAAAACCTTTAGCAACTGAAAGATATGTATACTTTAGAGCTTGGAAAGCTGTCATTTATTTGTTGTTTACATGTTGGACACATTTTTTTTTCTTGAGTAAGTTCCATCCTATTTTTTATCTTTTGTGAAAGATCATTTTAGAACCATAGACATACCTGAAGATATAATTAAATACAATCTACCACATAATACGATGTAATCTACGTTTGTATTTCTGTATACAAAAGAATGTCGTATGCTTGTTAGCCACTTGTATGTCTATTCATCCCTACTTCAGAAAGAGTTTTAATTCAGACTACTTTTTGGGAAAGCCTAGTGCAGGCATCCCCAAACTACGGCCCGCGGGCCGCATGCGGCCCACTGAGGCCATTTATCCGGCCCCTCACCACACTTCAGGAAGGGGCACCTCTTTCACTGGTGGTCAGTGAGAGGAGCACAGTATGTGGCGGCCCTCCAACGGTCTGAGGGACAGTGAACTGGCCCCCTGTGTAAAAAGTTTGGGGACGCCTGGCCTAGTGCAAGCCCCACACAGGGCTGTTAATCTCATTGTAAAAATCAACACCATTCTGAGGTCTCATTGTCCCTGATGTTTTGTTAAAACTAAAACAATTAAGGAGAAGTCAGAGAAAAGTTTTCAAATGATTGAAAAATACAAATCACCTTCTAACAGACAAGTGTGCAGACATTAGAATAAATAATAGATACACAAAACAATTTTCTGAAATGGTGACTGATGCATCTCCAACATACTATGTCACAGACTTCATGATCATCAGAAGAGTAAATTGTTGAAAATGCATTGTTCTGTGGACTCTGATATAATAAAGAAGAGTGTTGTTAGAGTGTTTCTTCATCAGTAATATGAAGCAAATTTGGAGAAGCCGGCCTTGTTCTATAAATCAATCAATAAATCTACAGAAAAGCACTTGGTAATATCTTTACATCTTCCTCTCTAGATTCCTTGAGTCAAATGACAAGAAAACACTTAGATATCACTAACTCATTGTAAAAAATAAATAAATAAATAAATAAAAAATAAAAGGAAGTTCCAAAGTACATGCTAAGATCTGTGTGTTCAGTTCAGGATTTTATTAACATATAGA